TTCTCCTGGAAGGAATTCCTGCTGGTAGGGTGGATCTGTTCCTTCTCAGCTGTGGTAAGGGTGAGGCTTTCTTGAGCAGAGAATATAATTGCCACTTCACACAAAGAAACAATTTTCCTGTGTGCTGGGTGTATTCCCATATTTTTGGAGTTCTCAATTTTCTTGGGTACAGCCTGGCAAATAGTATTTCTACCAGCTGAATCTTTATTGAAAGCTCAATTGTCCAAAAAGTTTCCATTTGTATCACCCATACTTTTATTAATGCTATTTTCTTCTTCTCTTTTATTTTTCTTTACCATTAAGAAGGGCAAATATTTTGAAATGACTACATTACAAGAAAATGAAATTTTGACAAGGAATAGAAAAGAAAGAGAGATCTTTGCCTAGTCTTCTTGACCCTGTCTGGCTTTCCCTCAGATTCACTAGTGCTGGTTTTTCTGTCTTCTTTCTTGGTGCCATACTTTTCATATTCAGCACACTGAAAAGCTTGAATTGTTTTCTTTGTTAACTGAAAAGTCTACAAATGCTGAAAAGATTACATATTCAGCAGGTCAAATCTGAGACAGTTTTCTGAATTAAGAAAAACTTTTGTGTTTCATAGTCTGGTCTAAAATTAGAGAAATTGAATAGAGTGAACTAATATCTGAAAAAGAAAAAAGGGCATGTGTTAGATGTTTATGTTAAGCACTGGCCAATTTTAGCATATAGACTCCAAATATGAGAAACGTAAGTAATAATACGTAACTAACCCATTGAAAATGGTATCTAATTCAAAACAACTAATATTTGCCAAGCAAATATTTGGCTGTTAAATAAGAATAACACATAAATGCAAATCTGTAAATTTAGTTCTTTTGTATTTTGTGTGTGTGTGTGTGTAGTGTGATGGTTTTTACATTTGTGGACACCAGGGTGTGCTAGCCATCACATGTAAATATGGATAGAAATTTATTTTCTGGTTGGTTAGGAATGTGCACATCCTTTGGTGGATGTAGGTAACAGATGTCTTGTGGGTAACAGATGTCTTGCCTTTTATAGGCTAATTGGCAAAGGTGGGGGAAGGGGATAATTAAAGAGGTGGGAGGGGACAAAACAAAAATGCAATCTTTCTTGTGGGGAAAAACCTAATAGACCTTCTTATTATCGGTAATTGCCTCCCTCTTCAACCTCATTTGCTGTCCCTTTCCATATGACTTAAGTACATTGTAATGGGAAAGTATAAAATAAAGAAACATAAGGCAGGACTACTGTCTGCTAACAACCAGATTTATCCTGTCATGGAATATTCTAGTATATTCTAGTATAATTGACTCAATTAACATCAGGTTTCTTTTTTAAAACCCAAAATATAAAAGCATAAGTCTAATCACCAATGGCAACTTATATTTTAATTGGCAGCACAAAGGTTCCATGTTGAGGATGGTTGATATAAATATAGTTTAATTTATATGTCAAATGTGACGATAGAGTGGACTGGTGGGAAATGAAAAATGAGAGACTGAATATGTCATATGTTACTTATACACCTTAGGTCCTGTTTAGCTTGCTGTTTGTTCTCTGTCAGTGCTATAGTACTGCCAGTTGACCTGGAATAAGTGGGAACATTTAGCAGATGTTTGAAGCCATTATCATTAACAAATCCTCAACTTTGTCAGTGTTTTCCATCGTGCAAGATTTGAAGTAAGGTGTCATTTTCTATATTAACTATACCACCTAGATCTATGTTTTTCTTCCAATGGGTACCTTTTACTTTAAACTGAAGAAAATTTTTATAGCTTGTTAAACATTCAGTGAGTATCCACATTATTCCTTGGTAAGAGCTATTACATAATCATTTTTTATAAGGAGCCGGTAGTGCTTCAAAGGCAAAGTATCAGGTTAGGTACTTAGAGGCTCACTTAATACAGAATTTAGATAAGCTGAAAGGGAACATGATTTATTCTAGATGCAAGGGACGTGATATTGACTTTTATTTGACCACCTGTCTCCTTAGAATATAGGTAGGTAGAATTTAAAAAATAGCAACTGTGTTTTAAAGCTTATTAGCACAATACAGATCTAAATCTCAATTGTTTATTAATTATTAATTTTTTTCTGCTGCATTAGAATTATATTTTATTCACAATTGCTAGAGATTAGTGGGGTGGGAGAATGGTTTCTGTACCCATGTTTTGTTTTGTTTTGTTTTTTAATGGCACCTTTGGTAGGATAGAAACAATGTTGCTTGAGTAGTCCAGAGACTGTTACATTAAGTCAATCACTTGATCTTTTTGAGCCTCATTTGTAATCTATAAAATAGACATAGTGTCAACTAACTCCTACTGTTGCACTGGGAATGATATGTGATGATGAACACACATGAAATTAACATATGTTTGATTGTTGAGTCCTTTATAAATAACAATAAAGTACTTTATTATGGTTGCCTTTATGGTTGCCTGAGCGAATCCATATTTTTTAGTTGCCTTGATTTCCTGGCTAAGCTTCTCTTGGAAATAGTACATTTGAAGAGACTGTGATGAGAAGTCCTGTGACAAATGCTTTGGGACTTTGTGTCAGGAAAGTTACTCTTCTTCCCACCTTTATCCCCTTAAAATATGAGGGTGAAGAATAGCCACAGTGGGGCAAGTTTTTTATTAAATAATTGTTAAGTGAATTTTCCATATTTTGTAATCATAGATTTCTGTAAGTCGTACATTTATAGAGTCATAAAATGTTGGTGGCATATGAGAATAAGATTTCTGGACCCTCTACAACTGTGCCAGTTCATTTTGCATTTTCAGAGGAAGGCAGTGAAGGTCTGTAAGGCTAAATGTCTTCTCTGAAGTCAAGCAGCAAGTTAGTGACAGAGCGAGGGCTGGGGTCATCACCTTGGTTTCCTGCATTTTTTGTTTGGCCCATTGCCAGAAACCACCTGCCATGTGACTGTGTAGCATCTAACCTGGACCATTAAAATAATGTGGGCATTCAAATCACTCTTCGTAGAGCAGAAAGAGGTGCATTCCTTTGTTATGGCTTTTAAATGTTCTCTACTCTCTAATTCTAGCTCTAGGCTATTCCTCTATGAATTACAAATGTATTTCCATTATTTGCATAAGGCAACTAGCCTTACCTCCTCTGGTAATAAGAGACATAGTCGTAATGTCTATATAGTACTTCCTATGTGCCAGATATTGGTCTAAGCCCTTATACTCTATGGGCTTTACATAGATTAACTAATTAATTCTCCATAACACCACGAGGAGGTATATTATTATCAGTTTTACCTTTCATATAAGAAAATGGAGGCACAGAGGGGCCAAGTAGTACCTAAGATTATGAAACTGGTATAACCATGATTTAAAGGCCTTTGTCAGATGGACTTGGAAAATGCTAGAGAGATTCCATTGTGAGAAGACACTTGGGTGAATGGACGCTCATTATATTAGCTCTCTTTAATGCAAAGAAAGTCTCCTAAAACATTTTCTAAATCCTTAGATTTTATGTTTCTAGCTCTATGGATCCCAATCAATCTAGAATATATGGTTCTACTGTAGCACATAAATATTGATGAAAGAGTATATTTATTTATGTTGATCACCACTGGAAGAAATAGGAAGGTGAGCTATTATGTATGGTCCAATGATGATAACAAAATTGTATTTTATTTTAGGATTATAGTTCCCATAGAGAAGATTAATAAAATGTTTATAGGAATGGTATTTCATCAGTCAACAAACACTATCAAAAGAAGAGAATAATTTCTATCTGATTGATATGTAATTTGTCCTTTCTTATATATTCAGCTATATAGGAATATTACCCATTTTTGCTCCTATAGTGGTATTTAAATTGAGCAATAGTTGCCATTTTTGTATCAAATATTTTATGGGTATAAAATCAGTCCCGATTTGAGTGATTACCAATTTAAAGACTTTAATTTTAGTAGCAGTGATTGTATGGTAAGGCTTTGGACATTCAAATAATTGTGGGGGAGCAGTTATGATTTAATGAAAATTTTGTTAAAGTAATAGTACAAAAAGCTTATTTAGTATTGTACTATTTAGAAAAAATGTAATAAAATGAAATCTGAATAAATTGCTCACAACCATTGGATTCTTAATGCTGACAACTATTTTTACATCAAAACAGAGAAATACTGCCCCACTTTGAAGATTAAGTTAGTGTGTAGTGTTTTGTGTGTGTGTGTGTGTGTAGTAAGTGGGGAATATTGGGAGAGGTGTAGAAGTGAACAGATTAATTTAGCAAAGTATAATGTTTCAAAGTTTATTGGTGTAGATAAATTCTATTGGTGTGCTTTGCTTCATGGAATAGATATGTACTTTAAAGAAAATTGCCTGAAGGTCATGGTCCATATTGCAATGGCTCTCGTTTTGTGTTTGTTCCTTAGAGAAAAGGAGGAAATATAATGGCTCAGGAATGCCTTAAAGGAACTATGACAATAACAACAATGTTATAATACCACAGAAAATAAAGACTCACAACTATGTACTAGAGACATATATACCTGTGGTTAGTTTTGTGTTTAGCTCATTGGCTTAAAAGTTTAAAGGAAGAAGGGTGCATGAATAGAACACACTAGGTTGGTTACACAGCTGCTGTAACCACACTTTAATGTTCTACAAGTGATGCTGGACAGCTCCCATTGGTTGCTGTGATACTCTTTCCTAGCATTTCATAGGAGCTATTGAATTAGGAATGAGCTGATTGAGCTTAAGAAGGAAGGATTTGGATTATAGATGAGGAAAATATTTTAAAATATAGGTAGCAACTGAATGAATTCACAAAAATACTAGCAATAGTAAATGATAATTGTGCAGCCTATTTAGTGAAACACATGACTGAGAGGGAGTAAGAGGATTCACATGTGTTTATCAAGTGTTGTTTATTTAAACCCCTTTCCAGTTTTCATTAAGATTGAATTTCTATTCTCAAGTATTCTGAAATAAATTTGCATGATATCTTTTGTATTTTAAAGCTTTTTGCCTTACTCTTTGCAGGACTGAAGTGTGTATGTCTCTTGTGTGATTCTTCAAACTTTACCTGCCAAACAGAAGGAGCATGTTGGGCATCAGTTATGCTAACCAATGGAAAAGAACAGGTGATCAAATCCTGTGTTTCCCTCCCAGAATTAAATGCTCAAGTCTTCTGTCATAGTTCCAACAATGTTACCAAAACTGAATGCTGCTTCACAGATTTTTGCAACAACATAACACTGCACCTTCCAACAGGTAAGAGGTTTATCTTTGTTCATTCCAAATTTAATTTTACTCTTGGGAAACTATAAGCATGGTATAAATCAAACTGTCTTATATTTCTTTAAATAAGAAAATCTGTTTTACAGTTCTCTTTTTCAGTTTGATGGGTAAAATTCTCTAGAGTCTAGCTGAGGTTGATTTTTTTAAAAAAATTGCACTGCACTGTCAAAACATTGACAACAGCATAACAATTTTGAAGAAATTTGTCCATGTGAATTGTATTTTTTGAAGTGATTAATGGACCTAAAGTAAAATGTAAATTTTCATGGATTCTTTTAAAGGAAAGAAAGTAGGATGGATACTAAGAAAAAAAGAGCAAAACAAAAAATAGGAGATTGCCAACTTTTATGGGGACAGAATGTTTTTTTTTAAGAATCTTTTTTGCGTGACTACCTTCTGCATATCTTCTTCATATACCCACATTCACGTGAAAGCACTCATCAGAGAGACAGGAGTGGAATGAAATTTGAGCCTTCATTATTGTTCAGATATATTTCTGCCGTTAGCTCAATTTTATAGTGCTTTATCCCAATTTATAAGATATTAAATATCCTGATCTGGCCTCTTATCAGCATCTGGCATATGAAAGTTTGGGAGACATTCATGAGCATGTAATTCTGAATTAAAAACTAGTTTATGATATGGAAATTAAGTTTTATTTAATATTTCTAATACAGTGATAATTTAATGCTTAATGTTACATTCACATTTATATACAGATACATACTCTTCCTTACAAGTTAACCTTCCTTTTGTTTTTTTCCCTGTATGTATTTGACGTTAACCTTTTAAGGCACTGTTATCCAATCTTAGTTATTCATATACCACTATATCAATATAGTATTTTTTTACTTATTATTTTAACAAACTACCTTTCTAAAGTGAAAAACATTTATGTTGTAGAAACAGTTATCAGTACCACAAATTTAAAAACAGATTTACTTGCCATAAATAGAAAATTAAAATGTTAACAAAAGGGAAGCAATACTACTGCACTCCAGTTAGGCATTTTGTGTTTTCTCTTTGTTTAGAAGAGAAAAAAAGAATTGTTAAAGACACAGTAGCAAGAAATGAGACTTTTTGATACAAAATCAGAAAAACTAAGAGAATTAGAGAAGGAATCATTACATGATTCAATGTTATGTGGTGTCATGTTAATTTACCACGCCAATTCATCTCAAAAACCCTTCAAATCATTTCATAACCATGACTAATACTTGTCCTACTCTTTGGAAAACATTATTCTAAGGCATTTTATATAGTGCAACCTCGAAAGTTATACTTGGCTTATTTCATCCCCTAAAGCTACGTACAGTCTTGATTTTTAGACCACTTATTCTATCCCAAATTCAATTGACTTCCTTGCTTTGGTGGTAAACTGGGATCCATTATGGACACTTTTCTTTCCTTACATTTTTGCTCCAACTCTGTGCACCAGAGACACCTTAAAGTGAAGGCTCCTTATATTTGATGCTGGTCTCACTCATGACCAAATAGAAAAGATTAGTGAGGTGGAGAGGGACGTCTCCTCATTAGCTGTAGCAGAGGCCTCTATAATGTATCTTCTCAATAGGGAATTATTTACAAGACCGCATTCTTTGACTATAGCAAAAGGTCTTGGAGGACAAGATGCTTCCTATGCAATGGGCAAATTAAAGGTCCTTAGCGCAGCTAGAATGCAGGTTCTTCCCGCCCAACTACAAACTCTGCCTAAGTACTGAGAAGCCTATGTTCTAGCCTCAAGTTCAGCCAGGAACCAGTTTTTCTTTTTTAAAAAATTTACTTTATTGAGGTACAATTTAGATACAATAAAATGCACACATTTTATTCTTATTTATTTATTTTTTACAAGAAAATAGTAGCTTTATTGAGAAAAGGTATGATATGCAGCGAGAGCATAGTAGGTGAAATCCTAGTTAGGAAGATGGATCACAATGCAGGGAGATGGCACTGGACCCGAGGGACTCTGTCCTGAGCATCTAAAGTAAATTTCCAGGGACACAGGGCTCTTTCATTTCTTCCAGCTCCTCCACTATGGTCTGAATTGCAGGTTTTCTCTATACCCGATAACGTGCACTGTGTACCACAACAGCCTGGCAGTCTATGCAGTGGTTTTCAACTGGGGGAAAACTTTTCCCTCCGTGGAATTTGGTAATGTCTAGAGACATTTTGTTTTCAATTTTATTTGTTTACTTTGAATTGATACATAATAATAGTACATATTTATGGGATACATAGTGATGTTTCAAGATATTCGATGTATAGTATTCAGATTAGAGTGATTAGTATAACCATCATCTCATTTATCATTTCAAAATGCACACATTGTAAGGATACAGTTTGATGAGTTTTAATACATACATACACCCACTTAATCACAGCCACATTTCTGTTACCTCAAAATATTTTCAGTCAATCTCCACATCCACTAGGGCTAGACAACTGATCTATTTTCTATCACTGTAGATTAGATTTATTTTTGTAGAGTTTCACAGTAAAAAAGTCATTATGGAACACATTTTGGGGGAAGTTTGGTTTCCTTAACTCAGGATTCATTCATTCATTCATTCATGCATGTTGTTGGATATATCAGTAATTTACTCCTTTTTATTGCTGAATAATATCCCATTGTGTGGATATATTACAATTTTTGGAAATCCATTCATTGATGTGCATTCATGTTGTTTCCATTTGGGGACTACTATTCAAAGCTGCTATGAACATTCATGTACATGTCTTTGAATATATGTTTTTTTTCTTTTGGAAAATACCTGCAAGTGGATTTTCAGTATCATATAAGAAGTGTATGTTTAACTTTATAAATATAAACTCCCAAATAGTTTTCAGATTGTTTGTACCATTTTACATCCCCAGCATAAATGTATGATAGTTTCAGTTAGTCTGTATTCTTGCCAACACTTGGTATAATCAGTCCTTTGAAGTTTAGCCGTTCAAGTGGTTGTGGGATGGTATTTTATTGTGGTTTTCATTTGCCAGTGACTAATGATATTAAATTATGTTTTCATGTGCATATTAGTTATTTGTTTATCTAGATTTGTAAACAGTCTTTTCAAGTATCTATTAAAAATTGGGTTATTTAACTTCTTATGGTTGAATTTTAAGAGTTCTTCAGATATTCTAAATGTAAAGGCATTATCAGATATAGGTATTATGACTATTTTCCCATTCTGTGGCTTGTCATTTTGTTCTCTTTAAGGTGTTTTTCATAGAGCAGGAGCTTAAAAACTTGATTTATCAAACTTTTATCTGATTTATCTTTTGTTATTATTATTATTTGGTTTACTAGTTTCATGTCCTGAGAAATTTTTATCTACTCAAATGTTATACATATTTTCCTTTATGTTTTCTTCTAGAAGTTTTAACATTTATGTCTATCCTCAGTTTCAACTTAATTTGTGTTATTATGTGATGTTAAGATGGAGTTTTATTTTTTCCATATAGATATGAAGTTGTTTCAACATCATTTGTTGAAAAGTCTGTCCTTTCCCCATTTGAATTACTTTGGTTGAAAATAAAGTGACCATATATGTGGGTATATTCCTGGCCTCTTTATTCTGTTCACTTGTTCTATATGTCTTATGCCACTATCAAACTATCTTGATTATTGTAGCTTTATAGTAAGTATTGCAAAGAGGTCTATGATCCCTCCAACTTTGTTGTTTTTCAAAATTTATTTGTCTATTATAAGTCCTTTGTATTTTCATTTAAGTTTTAGAATCAGCTTGACAATGCCTACAAAAACACATGCTGATATTTTCATTAGATTGAGTTGAATATATAGAATAATTTCGGGAAAATAGTCATCTTAACAATATTGAACTTTTAACCCATGAACATGGCATGGTTTTCCACTTATTTAGTTATTCTTCACTTACTTTTACCGGTATTTTGTAGTTATCAGAGAGCAGGTCTTATGCATACTTTGTTGACTTTATCTATGAGTATTGCATGGTTTTGGATGCTATTGTGAATAGTAATTTTACTATTGCAATTTTTAAATGTTAATTGCTAGTACGTGAAAATAAAATTAATTTTGTATGTTGACCTTACATCCTACAAGCTTGTAAAAATAATTTACATTAGTTCTAGTAGCTTTAAAAAAATATTGTTTGGTCGGAAGAATAGGCTCCACTTGTACTCGCCATTAAATTGGTACTGACTGATTAACACTATGGTGCTCACATGGTAGTAATATTCTCCAGGGATTAAGGGGTTGGGGGTGGTAAACTCACAACTAAAGGACGTGGTGAGTGTTGTAGAGGGGAAGGGTATGCCTCTAACCCTCACTAGGGAGAGACAAAGACATAAAATATAACCAAAATGTTTGTACCCTCATAATACCTTGAAATAAAAAAATATATTATTTAGCATTTCTACATTAACAATCATCTTATCTGTGAATACAGACAATTTTATATCTTTCATGCTGACCTATATGTATTTTATTTCTTATTCTTGCCTTTTACACTGGCTGGGACCTCCAATATAATGGTAAATAGGATTGGGGAGAGTGGAGTTCCTTGCCTATTTCCTGCTTCTAGGAGGAATGTATTCATTTTTTTACCATTAAGTATGATGTTAAGTGTAGGTTTTTTGCAGATGCCTGTTATCAATTGAGGGAATTTACTTTTATTCCTAGTTTGTTTAAAGTTTTAGTTTTAATCATGAATGGATAGTAAATTTTTAAGAACTTTTATGAATTTATTAAAATTATTGTGTAATTTTTCTTCTTTAGGCTATTGATGGGATGGATTACATTGGTTAGTTTTTAAATGTTACCTATGATAAGGAATATATGTGTTGTCTGGCTATTAATTAATATGTCTATAAGAAATGCTATGTTGACATTTTATTGAATTAAAAGTTCTTTACTTAAACTAAGAATTTGGTTTTTTTGATGACATTGTATGGGGATGGACATTAAATTGAACTGGAGTGTATATGTAGTCATC